CCACAAGAATTCTGCACCACTTCTTTGCAGAGTACAATTTAGCAGCAATTAAGAAGAATGGGAGAGGGGCACCTGGGTGGCACAGTTGGTTAAGCGACTGCCTTCAGCTCAGGTCATGATCCCAGGGTCCTGGGATCGAGCCTGCATCGGGCTCCCCCTGCTCTTTGGGGAGCCTGCTTCTCCCTCTGCCTCTGCCTGCCACTCCCCTTGCTTGTTCTCTGTCAAATAAATAAATAAAATCTTTAAAATTAAAAAAAAAAAGAAGAATGGGAGAGTAAGCTACACATGTTTGGGAACAAACAAACAAGGTGAGACTAGAAAATACAAAGATAATTTAGAGAATCCCCACGACTCTCCAAAGTGTAGCCATGTGCTACATGAGAAGGAAATAGTATCCTTGTTTTAGTTTTAGGAACTTAAATCTTTTTTTCTTAACCAAAATTTTTTTTGAAAATGAATTAGAAAGTAAAATTAATGCTTCTTTTTATTAGATGGGAACTAGGATAATTATTTACATTGGGAATGCTAAGTGGCTTTAATAGTCATGTGTATGCTGTAGGTATTATCTTTTAGGGTAATATATTTTCCCTGCTAAACCTGTCATGAGAAACTTAAAAAGTATTAGAGGTAGCACACTTACTTTACTGTCATTCAAAAGAAACTGTTCTAAGCTATATATGGCTCTTAACCACATTTAAAAAAGCTTTTTTAATCCTAAGAATGTTGGTCCTTGGGTGAGGTCTTCAGTCTTTTATCTGAGAGCTATATATATGTGCTTGGGTATAATCTGTCAAAGGTATACTCACTTTTAGTCTAAAGATGATTTGTAGGTCTAGTCCATATTCCTACAGCTGCCATAAAACATACAACTAAATCATATTAGATTAACACAGGCTGGTATTGGCAGCCCACTGGGAACATATTGATTAGGTCCTCTTTCATGTTATTTGTTATGATTTTTCTTCCCAGTTTCATTTACTGGGAAGACACAGGGGAAGAGATTTCACCAGGAACAATGACAGTGCCTGTCACAAAATGTTCTCAATGTTTCCATTTGTTACTATGGCAGTGACAAAGAGGGTTCCAAATGAAAAGGCAGACCTGCTGTGACAAAGCACAGCAGGACAACAGGAAGAAATTTTCTCCTGACCTGGGAAATTAGGAAATCACACTTAGAGATTATAGAATTGTCTCCATTTCCAAGGGTACAATCGTACCACTTGGGCTTTTGAGGGAGCATGTGAAAAGGGTAGTTCCATCAGGCCTGGTTACGGACAAATAAAAGGGCAAATGTTACAGAGTGCTTAAGCTCTCCAAATAGAACAAGGAGGCATGCTTGTACAGGCTAGAGGGAATTGTCACTGTTACTGAACCCCTGAGATGGAACTATGAATTTAATTTATGTACATGTGGGATACTCATTTTAAAATTATACATGAAAATCTATGATGTACTCTAGTTGTATATCTCTTATGTGGCTAATAAGAACACATGGCACTCTGGTACTGGGATATGTAAGTAGCACATGGTAGATGAAATGATGCTTTATCCAAGAGCTTGAAATTGGGACTGGAATACAGTTATGCAAAGTCACAAAAGACAGAAATACTCTTAAGCCAGCAAAACTTAAAGGTAATAGGAGGAATATATTATCTATCTAAAGATAGAATGTGTCAATCAGAGAGGAGCTATGTTAATAAGGCAATAAAATAGAGCAAAGAAAAAGAAACTACATAGTAAATGCAAAAGTTGCCATTGCCTCTCCATTCATGTTCAAGGTAGAGAAGTATGTTTCAAGAGCTGGAGTATTTCCAATCCTAGTAGAAAGGCTTTCCCTAGTGTAGAGATGGAAGTTGGGGTTTTTAACCAATGGATTTTTTAGTATTTCCTACTGATAAGACCATCTCTATTGTAAGATGGAATGCATTAGCCTGGTGCTATTAAATGGTTGATTCATATAACTCCTTGTATTTAGATTCCATGCTGACCCAGCAAGTTTATGGTCTGTCTTTCTGTATCTCTGTAGTGCAATCAATTCTACTGCTTAGCAAAAAGCTCCTGGTTCAAACTCACCAGGGACTATAGTCCTTCGATTATTTTCCCTTTCACTTTCTCTTTTTTTTTCTGCAACAATCTTACCCTAGAGTCCTCAGAATCCTATCAGATAACAAAAGCTCCTGTTCAATACATGAAATCATCTATTCAGATAATAGAAAGACTCTCTTTGGCAAAACCCAGCTTTTGTTAGTAAGGCTGGTCTGTGGCTCTCAGTCCTAATGATGAGATTTCCCTAAAAGTTTAGAGAAGCAATATAGTGCACTAAGAGCACTGACTCTGGAACCAGACTGCCTGGATCGAATCTTGGCTCTTGTACTCTCTAGCTATGAGACTTTGTGCAAGTTACCTAACCCCTCTGTGTCTCAGTTTCCTCATTAGTAAAATGGGGTTATTATAACCTACTGCAGGGTCTCCTGGGTGGCTCAGTAGGTTGAGTCCAGCTCTTGATTTTGACTCAGGTTGTGATCTCAGGGTCATGAGATTGAGCCTTGCTTTGGGCTCAGGCTCAGTGGAGTCTGCTTCTCTCCCTCTCCTTTTGCCCCTTCCCCTGCTCGTGCACGTGTGCTCACTCTCTCTCCCAAATAAATAAATAAATCTAAAAAAAAAAAAAAAAAGCCCTGCTTCAGTGAGCTTTTATGAACATTAAATGAGTTAATATATGTAAAATGCTTAAGGTGCTTACTGGCTAGTAAGTGCTATATAAACGCTATCTATACTATACTGCACAGTTTGACTTACACAGAATGTGCTAAACATGCCAACATAAGTCTTTCAATGCTAAAATGACTTTAGAGTGTTCATGTCATTGCATGACTCAGTCTTTCAGGATCTGATTATCCTACTCAGAGTAGGGTTAAAGTGAGAAAAATGGCTACCAGTAAAGTCCTGCCTAGTGTCAGCCTGCCTTCCACTTTCTCTATAGTGATTTCAACAGCATGTAGTGAAACCCAGTGTTTGGATTCAGGGTATGATAAAAGTGAATAAAGTGAGGAAGCTGCCAACATATTACACAAGGGGTTGACAAATTAGAGCCTGAGGGCCAAATCCAGCCTGTGGCCTGTTTCTGTATAAGTGGAGAGCTACAAAAGGTTTTTACATTTTTAGAATGTTATAAAAAAACAAAACAAAAACAAAAAGCAAGCAAGCACACAAACAAAACAAGAATAATATGCAACGCAGCTTGTATAGGACTTGCAAACTTAAAATATTCACTATCTGACCCTTTACAAAAAAAAGTTTGTGGCTCCCTGTTCCACACTCTTCCCTTACTATTTACTTCACTGTACCCCAACAATAAATACATAGGTAGATAGAGTGAGATATAAAAGAGGCTGATAATCCTGTAACAGAGAGCCCAGGTGCTTTGGTGAGGTAGTTCATTTATTATCCTTACCACAACACAAATGGGTACCTAGCTGTTCCTACTTCAGTACCCTAAGAATGACTTCTCTCTCCCTCAGAAAGTCCATATGTTCTTACCTAGTACTGGAAACATTCTAGGTAGTTAGGCGTTCATCAAGGAGTCTGTTTTTGCCGGGCTAGGTGGCCCAGGACCCAAGGTAGTGACTAATTAGGTCACCATCATATTTATGATGGCCTCACAATGTGCCCTACTAAATAATTAAAAAAAAATAGAATACTTACTGTTTTAAATATTTAAAGTACTTAAATAATGCACACACAAGGGGTAAGTTTTAAAAGTTATGTACTAAGATTCCTGGTTTAACCAATTTTACACAAGAAATCCATAGTGTTTCCTTAATGTATTATAGAATTTAGCCCAATTCTGGATATTTTTAGCCTACATGAATTTATAGCTCTGAGGAAATATGGCATAGGAAAAATAGCTGGAAAACACTCTAATCAATGAGGAAGCCTTTCAGAGCAAAGACACAAAAGATACAAACATTACAGTAAAGTAGAATGCTCTCTGTGGTATGCACTCTTTCCAAAGAATAAGGCATGGGGCATGCTATGAGTCTATTGGTTAACAGCTCACTGAAAAGTAGGCATGAAGTTTCAAAGAAGAAAATATGAAAAATCTATCTTGGTGAAAAAGAGCATTAAAACAAAAGAGTATCTATATTTGAAACAATACTATGTTAAAACCATCACATAATTTAAATTTCCCATGATTCAAATTATCTTCCCAGGAAAGGAGGACAAGGGTCAATTCTATTTGCCTTTGTTCCTTGTTCAGCTTGATGTTATAAGAAATAAAGAGAGATCAAGAGGGACTCTTCTGGGTTATCATTCAAGAATCTAAAGCTTTCTAGAGACCACTGTCTAGCTTAACTACACTTAACTAGAAGGGGTTTAGACATATCAAAAGAACTTTTGAACCAGATTTTAGATCAATCTAATTCATCAAGCTAAGAATCTTCCAACTGTCTTCATCTTATTTTTGAGTACTCATTCCAAAAATGACTTAGTCCTTATAAATTGTGCCAGTTCTTACTAAGCCTGAACCAGACAAAAATTTAACCCTTCCTAAAGTACATTTATGAACATTTAACTATTGTCTTAGAAACAGATGTTTTAATCAAATGATATAATCCACAGACATCATCCTTAGTTAATATTCACCACAACTTGTTTTGAAGAACAATAATATGTTAACATTTAAGCCTGAAGGCCTAAGAATATACTATATACTGTACTTGATACAGCTTGTTTATGCAATATTCTCACAGACACAATTAATCTTGTGAAAATGACTGGGGTACAGCACAATAGCAAATTATCTTTGAGCCCCAAATAAGTATTTTTCCAATAGTAAAAATACCCTCATAATACTCACAGCGATAGTAGCATATGGAAAGAACATTAGGAGTTAATTATTTAAAAGAAGAAATTATTAAATTCATAAATCTTGGCTATGTAGTGGAGGCAAGGGTTAAAGGAATGTTTAAATTATAAGTATGAAATAAATGAATCTGTACCTCCAACAAATGCATCTCCAGCTCCATTGGTATCAACAATTTCTTTCTGGTTTTGATCCAAGACAGAAAAAGCGGTGACTTCACTTTCTGCAAGTAGAGCCAAAGAAAGGCAGACTGACTTCTCTTTGTAACGCTCAATACAGAAACTCACCTAGTAAAGTTTGAAGCTCCTGCATCATTCATCATTCAAAGAGAGAGACAACATGAGTTCCATATTCTCCACATGAGTACTTGGGAACCAAGGCAAAGTCATCTGTAAACAATGCTTTTTTTTGAGTAATTTTCAGCATACAGATACTGTATGTGTTTTGTTAGAGTTATACCTAGGTAGATCACATATTTTGGGAATGATTGTAAACCACAGCAGTACCTTTTTGGACAGTAAAAATACTTGAACAGAAACTCCGAGTGAAAGGAAGATTTGTAAGGACTGGATCATGGATCCCTAATAAAGCTTCAAGCCTGACTGCATTCTTGGCAGTGAAATCTTGGATACAGTTAAAGAGCTATAAATTTAAAATATATAAATAAAGAGTCTTGGGTGTTTCTCTACAGAAAATCACAATGGCATGATAAAAAAATAACTACTATTCTGTTATAATTCTTCATGCCAATGTTAAGAATTACTGATTTTACTGGGTTTATTACAAATAACCGAATCTGGTTACTTTTAACAAAGGAGTCGCTATTTCCTTTAAACTGTCAACTAACAAAAGGGAAAGCTAGGTAGAATAAAAGGGACAGTGCAATGGATTCTTGTATTATAGCAGTCTGGACTAGGGCTTGATTGTTTTGACTATAAAGTAACCTAATACAGTACTTTAAACTTGGCACATGCCAGTGGAATGGAGTTATTTGTGATGAAATTTGGCCCAGAGGACATCTGCAAAAGATTGGACGGTGCTTTTTATTGGTGGCTGGAACTTCTGAAATCACAAATTTGCATCCCTTCTGGGGACAGATGTGGCCAAAACTTGTAAACTTCAGTCTCACCTAAGATCAAGAGAGAGATGGAAAAGGAGATAAGGAGCACCTTAGGGTCTTAATAAAGAACCCAAGAATCTCAAAAAGCATATTCTGTCTGTCTTCTGTTACCTGGTATTAATGGATACTTTCAACAAGAGATAAGCACAGATAGGATAATGAAAAAAAAATCCTACTGGAAAGACTGATATTCAAGAAGAGGATTCTTCACTTAGTGATCCCTTTTGACATGACTGTAGATGCTAAAAGACTCCATCAGAAGCATCTATTTAAACTCTTTAAGTAACTAACTTTCCACTTTTTAACACCAGGACCTACATCGTAGTTAGCAGGATTTTGATTAATTGGAAGTTAAGGCAGAAATATCCAGGATTAAATTTTTTAGGGAGTATGCAGTACACACTGCTACACAGGCAAAAAAAAAAAAAAGTAAGCAGACTTTACTAGAAATAATTAGGAAAGGGCTACAGTCTGATTTAGGAAAAAGGACTATACCATAAATATTTATAAAGAAATCTGATTTTATTACTTCCAAGTACAAGTCATACTATAGAGAGAATTAACAACTATAAAGTCAGAATAAATAGCCACTAAATAAGTAAAATGAGCTAAGTTAATGATGCTATTACCATTTATAATAGGGTTACATTATGTAATAATAAAATATGTCTATAAAACACTTTAGGTAATGTAAGTGTTAATATAAGAATTAATTACTGGATTATAGATTTGAAAAATAATTACATATAAATGGTAAGTAAGCCATAATTAGATATAATTCCTTGAGTTCTTTGTTAGAAAAAGTCATGGATTTTTGGTTGGGTAAATCTTTATTTATGAATTAGAGCCTAATTCAAAATGGAAGAGATTACTTGGAACTTTGTTCTTGAGAATCATGACTTCTTGGTTTAAAACTGAAAATTCTAAATGAATGCAGTTTTCTGGATATATGTGTATATCCTTGAGATGTTTTATCCGTAGGTGACATAGAAGTTCAATTTCTTGTAATACAAAGAATTATTTTTAACCTTTTCTACTCATTAATGCAAATAGATATATAAGAATATCAAGACTGCAAAAGAGCTGTCGTAAATTGTTATATAGTCCAGTCTCTATTACCTTCTGTATCTAGAGTTATGAGAGCTCCCTTCAAAATAATGACCCTGAAAATTTGCAAGACCCTGAAATGTGTTCTAAATCATTGAAGGATTAAAAAATGTTCAGTAATATTTAAGTTCAATTATGTTTGGAACATTCTGATTTTTTGAAATGAAATGATCTAAGTTAATTTAGAGAGCTATTTAAAAACCCCGAACACATGGGGCACCTGGGTGGCTCAGTCGGTCAAGCATCTGACTCTTTGATTTTGGCTCAGGTCATGATCTCAGGGTTGTGAAATCCAGCCTCACATCCTTGGTGTCTGCACTCAGCATGGAGTCTGCTTGAGATTCTTTCCCTCAGTCCCTCCCTGCCCCCCACACTCTCTCTTTCAAATAAATAAGTAAATCTTAAAAAAAAAATACCCCACACAACTAACTTCACCAGCATGACCTATTCCACAGCCTTCTAGACAATGTATTGAATGAACATATGAAATACCTCACTAAATCTTAAGATACACTTATAGGCATGAACATTATTCAGCCTGTGAGGCCCAGGACACTCACATGACTCATGTGGACCTAGTTTTCTTAGGTGTAAAATGGGGCTGGAGTAGTTATGGGAAGAAGTAGCAAAAATAGCTTTCTATCTTAGTTGTAGAAAAATGACACTGTCAGTTCTGATCAAATGCTTCTAAATAAGAGCTTAAGACAAGTTAGAGCCTTTTATTCCTGTGATTTATTCGTTGTATAACTGGAAGCCTGTATTTCCTATTCCCTTTCACCCATTTTGCTAATCCCCCCATCTCCCTCCCCTCTGGCAACCATCAGTTTGTCTTCTGTATTTGTAAGTCTGATTCTGCTTTTTGTTTTTTTATTCATTTGTTTTGTTTTTAGATTTCACATATAACTGAAATCATATGATACTTCTCTTTCTTTCTCTGACTTATTTCACTTAGCACAATACCCTCTAGGTCCATCTATGTTGTTGCAAATGGCAAGATCTCATTCCTTTTATGGCTTCATCATATTCCATGTGTTCCTTGTCCATTCATCTATCAGTGGACACTTGGGTTGCTTTCATATCTTGGCTATTGTGAATACAATCCATGGTACTGGAATAGCGTTGTATGGTGACAGATGGCAGCTACATTTGTGGTGACCATAGCATAATATAGAGCTGTGGAATCACTCTGTTGTACCCCGGAAACTATGTAACACTGTGTCAACTATACTCAGATAAAAGTTTTTAAAAAGTAAAGTGTATAATACATGGGAGGATATTTCTAATACTATTTGGAATTACTAATAAAAAGAGTTAGTGATTTTTTTTTATATCTAATGATCTTTTTTGTTGTTAAAGATTTTATTTTTAAGTAATCTCTACACTCAACATGGGGCTTGAACTCACAACCCAGAGAGCAAGAGTTGCATTCTGCATCAACTAAGCCAGACAGGAGCCCTATATGATTTTTTATACCTTAAAAAAAAAAAAAAAAAGTAAGTCTTAAGAGCCACTGTTTCTCAAATCTTTCCAAACTTTTGTAAAGTAAGAAGGAAAAGGATTGGTAATAATTATTATTCCTATTTTCCAGATTTCTGTAAAACCACAAAATCATGAGCTTCCTTGAGCAGACAGGAAAGAAAAAAGAACAATTCAGTTGATACCAGATTTGCTTGGTATCATTAGATAAGATCCGCAAGGCACCTTCATCAAGAACAATGAAATTTAGCTTACTTAAAATACAAAATAATAAAAATCAGACATTCTCTGGCCAGTTTATCTAAGCAAATAATTTACTCTTCACTTTACTATGATATAAGCTTCACTACCTAACTTAGAAGGGCAGTCTGTCTAGAATCAAAACATCTTCACATGCCTATAATGCTAAGTCAATTATGGTAGAAATAGCAAGTTCCTACATTATCTAACTGAAAAAAATGATAAAAAATTCAGTCACTCAATGCCAAACAACTAGATTAAATGCTTCTGTAGCTTTACCGCTACTAAATTAACTATATGTTTTAGCACTGTATACCTACAACCCCATGATAATTAATATCCTTAGAAAATTTTGTTCAAGATATTTTATTTTATTTTATTTTTTAAAAGATTTTATTTATTTATTTGACAGAGAGAGAGATAGTGAGAGCAGGAACACAAGTAGGGGGAGTGAGAGAGGGAGAAGCGGCTTCCCGCCGAGCAGGGAGCCCGATGTGGGACTCGATCCCAGGACCCTGGGATCATGACCTGAGCCGAAGGCAGCCGCTTAACTGACTGAACCACCCAGGTGCCCTTGTTCAAGATATTTTAAAAGGCCATGTTTTGTCACTGCTTTTTTTGACATCACCTCTAAATTGTAGGAAAGATATAACGGTTGAAGATAGAGAACAGGACAAGATATTTTCAACCACAAGGTAGACTGCAGTCACTCTGCCACAGCTTCTGAATGAGCATCACCAGGCTTGGAAAAGATAGAAAAGTGATGGCAAAATCTTCACCACCAAGTGAAAAGTAGGACTAGGTAAAAACCAGAACTCTTGAGATTCTTAAAAGAGGCGCCTCTACCTTGGCCATTCCTTATAATGAGGTAATTTACAGAGTATAAATGCTTTTGTTTGCTTGGTTTATTTTTTTTAACCTTTTATTTGGGCATAATTTTATTTCACTTGTTTGTTTGTTTATTTATTTATTTTTTAATTTTTAAAAGATTTTATTTATTTATTGGACAGAGAGAGACACAGCGAAAGAGGGAACACAAGCAGGGGGAATGGGAGAGGGAGAAGCAGGCTCCCCGCGGAGCAGGGAGCCCGAGGCTGGGCTCGATCCCAGTACCCTGGGATCACGACCCGAGCCAAAGGCAGACACCTAATGACTGAGCCACCCAGGCGCCCCTATTTGGACATAATTTTAAACTAACAGGAAAGTTTGATGAAAAATACAGAGAACTCCTATATAACATTTATCCAGATTTACCAGTTTTTAACATTTTGCCACAATTT